GCTTTCGGTGCCCCAGCCATCGGCACCGCACAGAGAGGAGAAAGGAGGCTGTTTGGGTTCATCATATACCTGTTAAGACAGCTTCTGCCACGGACCTTTGCTGGGTTGCTGAGACAGATGCCCCTCTCCGGGAGGGCAGCGTGGAAGCTGGCTACTCCCTGTCTGGATACAGAGCCGCAGGGAGCTGTGGCACTTCCCTGGTGTGCTCCTGCCTTGTGCTGCTGCCCAAGGAGAGGGGCACCCTGGTCCCACCTGGGCTGGGGCACTGCAGCACTCGAATCCCTTCAAACCTCTGAGGGAATGCCATTTCAGGCAGAGAGTCACTTCATATTAGTTCAAATAACTGCATTAACCGGAGTCAACAGCTCCGCAGGGTTTTCTGCTTTATGCAGTCAGTTCCATCTCACATCTGAAAAGAAGATGGTATAACCCTGTCCGCAGACCAGCCCTGCCGCTTGGAGCCCACCCAGACCTGGTGACCGTGGCCCTGATGTGAGGAAGAGCCAGTCTTGGGACACGGGGATGGGGAAGGGGTGGAGAAGGTCCCCGAGGGCAGCGTTTTGCAGACAGGTCGCTTCTGGGAAGCCAGAGCATCCTCCGGCTCGGGACGGCAGGTTTTTGGGACAGGTCTCGGGGAGGCTGAACTCTGGGGTCCGGGGCAGTGGGGTCCCCCTGGCTCTCTTCTGCTTCACCCCCAGGCGGCCACCGAGGGGCAGCAGACAGCCGCGCCGGCAGCGGGAGAGGAGGGTCAGGCGCCTCCTTCCCCGTCCCCCTTCTCCTTCCCCTCCCGCCGCCGGCGGCCCGGCGGGGTGCTGCGGAGTGTCGGGGAGTGTTTGCCCGCCAGGCTTCCCCGTCGCCTCCAGACCCTCCGAGATGGCGAGGGTGTTTTTAGGGCCGCAGCCACCTTCGTCGTCGCTGAATGTACGACAAGCGAGGTGGGCAGGGGCTGGCAGCACAGCCGGTGAGGGGTCTGGGGGCCGGTGGTCCCCCGTGGGGGAGCAGTTCTGGGCAAGGCAGAGGCAGTGAGCTGAGGCGGGGGTAGGTTACCCCACTAACTACTGCCCCTCCCGGGCAGGACGAGGTGGTACCAAGTGAGGGTGTATGCGGAGAGGTCGGTGCAGTGGTGGGCTCGCCTTGGATGCCCCGGCGCCTTTTAAGACACCGGGATGAGATATGTTGGGAGCGTTTGTCCTGCCTGCCTTCTCCCCACCCCTCAACGACAGCTTCCAGCGGGTTCTCAAGCTGGCAGTTTCATGAAGGAAAACTACTCCCTGCCTTGGCGACTGAGAAATTCCTCTTGATCACCGGCCCTGCAGCAAGACACCACGGACACATGTCCATAATGGCTGGTCCATATACATTGGGTGGCAGAGGTCTTTTGCAAACTTCGGTCCCTCTTCCCACACACAAGGCCTCAAAACAAGAGCTGAGCTGAAGCTGAGGGGACAGGACAAATGGGGAAACATCATCCAGATGAGAAAGTCCCTCTCCTCAGAAGGGGGAATGCCATGCGTTCTCTCATAGCATTGTACACTGCTATCACATGAGTAAAATCTTGGGGAATTTAGTGGCATGAGCTTTCTTCCTTTACTCTCCTCTTGCTTTGCTTATTTATTTTTAACAGGATTGGCTCCTGAAGGCTAGTCCTGAGAGGACAATTTCAGGTACTGTCACAAGACATCCAGAGAGTGTTGTGAATCTGAACAAGAGAAGCAGTGATATCGGCTCTGACAGGAAATTCTGTTTCCTCAATTTGCATCCAAAATAAAAGTTTGAAAACATAGCTTCCCCCCCCTCACCCCCAACAGTTCTTGTGCCTTTCTGATCTTTCCCGGTTTGATTTCTCTTCTTCAGGCTCACGGTACTCACCTGCACCTGTGTTTTGGGCATGATCTGTGTTGCTGGCAGCAAGTCCCAGACACAGCCTCTATAAACTGGTATTTGCACTGGCATCAACTTAACTGGCTGCAAGCTGGGTCTAGCTTAATTGGTGCAAAATGCACATCTTTGCTTGTTTGCACAGAGGGTGGGACTAACAGCCTTTCTAGGGTGACATGCCAGACTGTAACTGTCTTTTTGCAAAGGAAAGACTAAACGTGCCACTAGAAGCCTTGCAGAGGTGTTGACTCAGCTGTTCTGTTCTCCATGGTGGTTGAGACTCCCTACTCTATACTTGCGCTTCTCTCAGCATGACACAGTTACCAGCTCCTGGCTTTGCTGCAGGCTACTCAAATTCTCCATTAGTGCTGTTTTTGCTACCTGTGCTGCAGGCAGCTTATGTACTAAAGTTTCTACTAGACAGATACCTGTACAATAAAGGCCACAACTGGGGAAAATTTCCTGTGCAAATAAGCCCTTCACCTAAAATGGGTTCTGAAGATCTTAATCTGCAGGGTGTGAACCCCAAGGGTATGTGGCCTGAGGTCCTGGAGGGCTTATTAGCTTGGAAATAAAGTAGGCTATATGATATGAGGCTGAACTTCCCCTGTTTTAGGATGATATTGTTGCTAATGGAGTTCCCAGCAGGTCTGGGGCATGTGCCAGAAGCCAGGCTGGCAAAGATTAAAGGCCTCAGCTGAGCTAGGAGAAGGATTTCCTTCCCGTCCACCACCTGTCACACTCTTCTGGTCTGTCTTCTCTGCACATGGGCTGAGTGAGCCTTGTAGCATGGGGTATCCAGCATTTTCTTCCCCTCACACAGGCAGGATGGGAGTGTGGTATTCCAGAGGAGCCTCCTGTGCCTTGTCCATCTCTGATCTCCCCTAAGGTTTTCCTGCTTGCTCTTGTTCTCTCTCTTACTTGTTTTTTGTTGCGTTTTGTTTTGTTTTCTCATGCATTTTTCCCATTCATTTTGCTCTCCAGATGGCCTGCCATTTAAAATTCTCATCTCCCTGTATTTTTTCCTTCATGACTCTGTATCTCCTTGCTCTATTTTCTTGCTTCTGTGTGACGTGCAGCAGTCTCTGGCCAGTAACCAAAGCAAACTTCATTTAAAGCCAAACATAACTGCTGATAAAGTTGATTTTGATGCACCCGCTGTTTGCACCAATATGACTGCAACAGTAGCTGCCATCAGCTACAAGGATGCAGGCACCGTACCAGTGTAGACCAGACCTCTGCTTTGCACCTTTCTGCTGTTTTCTTTTTATTAAGGCTTTTTTTTTGTTTGTTTGTTTGTTTGTTTTTGTTTTGTTTTAGAGGGAGAATTCTCTTGTTCTGTTTTATAATATTCCTACACTATTGCCCATTTATATTGTGGGGTTAGTTAGGTGCATGGTCTTGGAAACACTGAGGGCACCATCAAGGACATCAGTGCTGAGAACTTTCCACCAACCACGCTGCTGTGACAGCCTCTCTGGCATGGTGGCAATCTCTCCAAGCAAACAAGGGGATGGTGTCAACCTGGCAGCTTCATCTGCTTTCCAACTCTGCTTCCTAAATCCCAGTCAGATTGCATCAGGCTTCATTGCATGCTCACAGGAGCCAAAGTAACAATATTTTTTTAATCTCCAATTTCCAGTTGTTTCAGTGTTTGCGTGTGTGTAGATGCTCCTTATTTGTGTCAAAATACATTGTGTCTTAGAAGAAAGCCCTATTCACCTATCTAGTGTGCTGCAACACAGTCTCACAGGTATTTCTTTCCTGCCTGACAGTAAGGATGACGGGGTCTCAAACTGGAGTATCATTAGCACCAACAAAGCTAAGATTCTGTGAGGTTTAGGAGTTCGTGGCCATTCACTGTTGAGGGCAGGAGGACTTTCCCACGCTATCATATTGACTATTCATACTTTTTTCAGTGTGCCATGGACACTAACCAGCTCAGCAGTCCCTTTGGCTCACCCCTTATTTGAAACTGAGAGACGAATCTCAGGGAACTGTGCCCTACTGCCCCAGTAACAGCAACAGACAGTAGGGGTGGGGGACAGCAGGAGAAGAAAAGGTAGGAACTGCACTTGTTACAGCAGGAGAGCCCAATACTATGTTTGAGAAAAGCCTCAGCCTTCTGAAGACGAAGCTGTCAAAACGTAAATCCCACCCACATGTACTTAGTCCTAGCTTTTGTTCTCATCAATTAAGGACAATCTGTTTCTGCAGCCCTTTGACTTGGTTTCTATCTTGCAGACACAGCAGTGCGTGCAGGAATGAGGGCTGAGCTGGCCAGGATTGTTTGGCTTTCATAGGGAAAGGTTGCTTGGACAGAAAAAAACGGTTTCTGTGGAAGGTTTCGATTTTCTTTTCTTTTTTTTTTTGTTTTGTTTTTTTTCTGTGGGAAGGGTTCTCCAGGCTGAAAAGAAGGAGTAGCTGGGTAGCTACTCCTGGGTGAGACTCAGATTCATACCGCTTTTTAAACCTGGCTCTGTGGCACCCCAGCTTCATGCCACAGGCTATCAGCTGTGTCAGAGGACAACACGGTATGTGGGTAAGCCAGTGAGACTGGGAGGGAAGGGAAGGAAAGACCCTGTCTGCGTTGTGAGTCAGAATAAAAATATCTCATCAGGGTGATGCTTTTCAGGAAGCAAAACCGCTGATTTCTGGCCAGCCGTCTTCAAGCTTGGCTGAAGTCAGTCAGAAAAGGTATTTCTGGGAAAATGGAATTTCCCAAGTTTTTGATACATTGTTTCATATCACATTGCAGCTTTCCATTTTTGTTTGCTTCTGTGCCTGGTTATTTTTTGGTCAAAATCCATCTGTTCCTTTGCAGACCTGATCTCCAAGCTCTTTTACTACCTGTTGCAGAACTAACTAGAATTAAACATTAAAAAAATCTGTGGAGGAGACCATTCATCCTGTCCTTCCCAGCAACAGAACTGCAAGGGTGGTAACTGGCAGCAGAACCCAGGGACAGTCCTGCTGCAGCCCTGTGAACAATTTGTGCTGTAGTAAGTGGAGTTATCCTGCTTCAAAGCATCTGCAAAGATATGATACAAGCCCAATAAAGCAACTCTGACTGGGTTTTTTTTTGGATTTAAGCCCATTTCACAGCTTGTCCTGCTTTTTCTCCTTTAGGCATGACTACAAAATCACAGTATAGACAGAGTCTGTTGCTTGAAGTCAAGATAAAGCTATCCTGGCTCACGTATCTTTCTAAGGCTAAAGATCCAGGACAAAATGGGGGCAGAGAGAAGAAAATGAAGCTTTCCTCATTCCTTGTCTCACAGTAGATTTCACCTGAATGGGGATTTTTCCTCTTGCCACGGGATTTTGCCAAAATCCTTGGCCCTGCCATGCCCTGGACAGCCACCGTGCCCTTAAGGAACCTCTTTATCCCCATCTCTCCTTTCACTCACCTACTACCCGTTGCTGCAACTTGAATTTTCCTTCTGGAGATACACAGATTCAGGAGAGGAGGTGGACACAGGGCCGACTTGGGCACAGAGATCAGAGACAAATTCCACTGCCCAGCTATATTGCCTCTGCGATGCTTGTGTAGTCGTGTCCGAAAAGAAGCCTGCAGACATTAAGGTTGAACCACAGGGCAGGCAGGTTTTCCCCAGAGCTACTGGTGCTGGTGCAGCAAAGGGCTGTCCATGAGCTGGAATGAGATGTGGCATTTTCAGGCTGGGGATAGGAGCAGCGATGGCCCCAGGAGATTCCCCACTGGCTGTGCCCAGTGCGGGCTATCCCACAGGCAACAGTAGGGACCAATCCTGCCGGAATGTCCTCAGCTCTGCTGGCTCATCCCTCACACCGCTGTGCCATGGATGTGTAGGCAGCTGCCTGCTGCCTCTGGGGTGGCACGGAGGAAGCTGAGTAGTACTGAGGGATGGACTGGCTTCTGTTACCAGTAATGTCTCCAAGAAATTCCTCTGGTAATGGAAAGGCCTTGCAAATGGACAACTAGTGCACAGAGATGTGTTGTATCCCAGCCTGGCTTGTCTCTGTCTGACTCTTGTTCCCTCTTTATGAGAAGAGTTTCCTTGACCAGCTAATTAAGATGGAGGGACTGAAGAGCAGTGTCACCATTCAGGGCAGTCTCTTGGCAGTGAGAAGTGGTCGGTTGGCACAGAGTTGATGCAGAAAAGAGAGATCTGCTTTAAAGAGAGAGGGAAATCCTTTATGCTATTGCACTGCTCAGGCCTGAAATCAGGGAATTACTTTTCCCATTCTCTTTTTCTCTCTTCAAACACCAGCTTTCAAAACAGAAGCTATTTCACTGTCTGCCCAGTCATCCAACTCAAACTCTTTGAAAATCATTAGGGCAGCATGTACCTTATAAAACAAGGAAACAAGCTTAATAACAGGGATCAGTAATTTTCCTGGGGTATTTATTTGCCTCCTGTTTTTTGAGCTCTAAACTGTCCCTCCTGTTCTTTGTCCCAGGGGCCTGGACACATATATAATGTCGGATGAATGGCTGTGACACAGGTCTGAGGCTAGAGGGGTTGAGCTCTAAGAAAAGACTTCAGAATCTGACAGCAAAGGTCAAAAGCCTCCAAGAGGCTACAGAGAGATGTGCTAGGGCATGCTGTAGTTTTGTGAAACACTGGTTTTGGTGACAATTGTTTTCTATAAAGCTCCGGGCTTGTACAGATTCTCCTATCCTATTCAACTCTGGGATGTGATAAAAGCTCCTGAAGATCACAAACAGACGTGGGGGACAGACATTGGGGGAACAACATCTGATATGTGCATAGGACATATTCCCTGATACCCTGCAAGCTTTTAAAAGAGAAACGTGAATCACAAAAATGCAGTTATGTTATGGTTTCTATTTCATTGAGTAATAAAGATAAATAAAGAGTCTCACACTGAATGAGATAAATTGAACTAAAACATTATGAGTCATATGTCCCATGGCTGAGCTGTCATAACAAGGTGTTTTGTATTCCTGGTTGAGTAACTTACCTGCTGATGATGTCACATCATGTTTTTCATCATGGTATCTAATC